ATGTTGTGTTTGATAATCCAAGTTGATCATTTTAAAAGGCTAATTGATCATTAGAAAATCATTTAGCAATTAAGTTAGCACAGCTGAAAACTGTTGTGCTGATTAAAGAAGCAATAAAACTGGCCTTCTTGAGACTAGTTGAGTATCTGGAGCATCAGCAATTGTGGGTTCGATTACAGGCTCAAAATGGCCAGAAACAAATACAGTGAGGGAAAAAAGTATTTGATCCCCTGCTGATTTTTACGTTTGCCCACTGACAAAGAAATTGTCAGTCTATAATTTTAATGGTAGGTTTATTTGAACATTGAGAGACAGAATAACAGCAAAAAAATCCAGAAAAACGCATGTCAAAAATGTTATACATTGATTTGCAATGGGAAATAAGTATTTGACCCCCTCTCAATCAGAAAGATTTCTGGCTCCCAGGTGTCTTTTATACAGGTAACGAGCTGAGATTAGGAGCACACTCATAAAGGGAGTGCTCCTAATCTCAGTTTATTACCTGTATAAAAGACACTTGTCCACAGAAGCAATCAATCAATCAGATTCCAAACTCTCCACCATGGCCAAGACCAAAGAGCTCTCCAAGGATATCAGGGACAAGATTGTAGACCTGCACAAGGCTGGAATGGGCTACAAGACCATCGACAAGCAGCTTGGTGAGAAGGTGACAACAGTTGGTGCGATTATTCGCAAATGGAAGAAACACAAAACAACTGTCAATCTCCCTCGGCCTGGGGCTCCATGCAAGATCTCACCTCGTGGAGTTGCAATGATCATGAGAACGGTGAGGAAGCAGCCCAGAACTACGCGGGAGCATCTTGTCAATGATCTCAAGGCAGCTGGGACCATAGTCACCAAGAAAACAATTGGTAACACACTACGCCGTGAAAGACAGAAATCCTGCAGCGCCCGCAAGGTCCCCCTGCTCAAGAAAGCACATATACAGTGAGGGAAAAAAGTATTTGATCCCCTGCTGATTTTGTAAGTTTGCCCACTGACAAAGAAATGATCCTTCTATAATTTTAATGGTAGGTTTATTTAAACAGTGAGAGACAGAATAACAACAAAAAAATCCAGAAAGACGCATGTCAAAAATGTTATAAATTGATTTGCATTTTAATGAGGGAAATAAGTATTTGACCCCCTCTCAATCAGAAAGATTTCTGGCTCCCAGGTGTCTTTTATACAGGTAACGAGCTGAGATTAGGAGCACACTCATAAAGGGAGTGCTCCTAATCTCAGTTTATTACCTGTATAAAAGACACTTGTCCACAGAAGCAATCAATCAATCAGATTCCAAACTCTCCACCATGGCCAAGACCAAAGAGCTCTCCAAGGATATCAGGGACAAGATTGTAGACCTGCACAAGGCTGGAATGGGCTACAAGACCATCGACAAGCAGCTTGGTGAGAAGGTGACAACAGTTGGTGCGATTATTTGCAAATGGAAGAAACACAAAACAACTGTCAATCTCCCTCGGCCTGGGGCTCCATGCAAGATCTCACCTCGTGGAGTTGCAATGATCATGAGAACGGTGAGGAAGCAGCCCAGAACTACACAGGAGCATCTTGTCAATGATCTCAAGGCAGCTGGGACCATATTCACCAAGAAAACAATTGGTAACACACTACGCCGTGAAGGACTGAAATCCTGCAGTGCCTGCAACGTCCCCCTGCTGAAGAAAGCACATATACAGGCCTGTCTGAAGTTTGCCAATGAACATCTGAATGATTCAGAGGAGAACTGGGTGAAAGTGTTGTGGTCAGAAAGTGTTGTGGTCAGATGAGACCAAAATGGAGCTCTTTGGCATCAACTCAACTCGCCGTGTTTGGAGGAGGAGGAATGCTGCCTATGACCCCAAGAACACCATCCCCACCGTCAAACATGGAGGTGGAAACATTATGCTTTGGGGGTGTTTTTCTGCTAAGGGGACGGGACAACTTCACTGCATCAAAGGGACGATGGACAGGGCCATGTACCGTCAAATCTTGGGTGAGAACCTCCTTCCCTCAGCCAGGGCATTGAAAATGGGTAGTGCGTGGGTATTCCAGCATGACAACGACCCAAAACACACGACCAAGGCAACAAAGGAGTGGCTCAAGAAGAAGCACATTAAGGTCCTGGAGTGGCCTAGCCAGTCTCCAGACCTTAATCCCATAGAAAATCTGTGGAGGGAGCTGAAGGTTCGAGTTGCCAAACGTCAGGCTCGAAACTTTAATGACTTGGAGAAGATCTGCAAAGAGGAGTGGGACAAAATCCCTCCTAAGATGTGTGCAAACCTGGTGGCCAACTACAAGAAACTTCTGACCTCTGTGATTGCCAACAAGGGTTTTGCCACCAAGTACTAAGTCATGTTTTGCAGAGGGGTCAAATACTTATTTCCCTCATTAAAATGCAAATCAATTTATAAAAATTTTGACATGCATTTTTCTGGATTATTTTGTTGTTATTCTGTCTCTCATTGTTCAAATAAACCTACCATTAAAATTATAGACTGATCATTTCTTTGTCAGTGGGCAAACGTACAAAATCAGCAGGGGATCAAATACTTTTTATCCCTCAATGTAACTTTCTTCTGAAACTCGTCAGTCTATTCTTGTTCTGAGAAATGAAGGCTATTCCATGCGAAAAATTGCCAAGAAACTGAAGATCTCGTACAACGCTGTGTACTACTCCCTTCACAGAACAGCGCAAACTGGCTCTAACCAGAATAGAAAGAGGAGTGGGAGGCCCCGGTGCACAACTGAGCAAGAGGACAAATACATCAGAGTGTCTAATTTGAGAAACAGACGCCTCACAGGTCCTCAACTGACAGCTTCTTTAAATAGTACCTGCAAAACACCAGTCTCAACGTCAACAGCGGCGACTCCGGGATGCTGTCCTTCTAAGCAGAGTTGCAAAGAAAAAGCCATATCTCAGACTGGCCAATAAAAATAAAAGATTAAGATGGGCAAAAGAACACAGACACTGGACAGAGGAAGATTGGAAGACTGGACAGAATAACATTTGTGAGACGCAGACCAAATGAAAAGATGCTGGAGGAGTGCTTGATGCCTTCTGTCCAGCATGGTGGAGGCAATTTGATGGTCTGGGGGTGCTTTTGTGGTGGTAAAGTGGGAGATTTGTACAGGGTTAAAGGGATCTTGAAGAAGGAAGGCTATCACTCCATTTTGCAACGCCATGCCATACCCTGTGGACGGCGCTCCTACAACAGGACAATGACCAAAAGCACAGCTCCAAACTATGCAATAACTATTTAGGGAAGAAGCAGTCAGCTGGTATTCTGTCTATAATGGAGTGGCCAGCACAGTCACCGGATCTCAACCCTATTGAGCTGTTGTGGGAGCAGCTTGACCGTATGGTACGTAAGAAGTGCGCATCAAGCCAATCCAACTTGTGGGAGGTGCTTCAGGAAGCATGGGGTGAAATCTCTTCAGATTACCTAAACAAATTGACAACTAGAATGCCAAAGGTCTGCAAGGCTGTAATTGCTGCAAATGGAGGATTCTTTGACGAAAGCAAAGTTTGAAGGACACAATTATTATTTCAATTAAAAATCATTATTTCTAACCTTGTCAATGACAACATTTCCTATGCATTTTGCTATATTTCCTATTCAAACTCATTTAATGTATGTTTTCATGGAAAACAAGGACATTTCTAAGTGACCCCAAACTTTTGAACGGTATTGAATATAAGTGATAAGATGGGTAAACCTGTAAGCATTACCAAATGTGGTATTATTTTTAATTTTTACATACACCCACAGTGAATGCCAAAGTGACTGCTAATACATTGTGAACTTGTTCATTTTATAGGGAAAATTAAGTTAATTCGTTTTTTTTTTTAACGGTTCAATATTTTTCTAATTCATTTACGATTTTATATAACATCCCTGAAAGGTATAAATTGCAAATTATCATAGAAGTGTATACAGTATTTGTCAGAATGTAACTATATAGTGTATTATATATTTTTTTGTCTGTCTGTCTTTATTTATTATTTACCTTTCTTTGGTCATTTGTTATTTGTGATATATGTATATTGTTCTGTACAATGTTCGTGTGATGCAATAAATAAATAAAACTCGGGGGAAAAAGAAGAACAAAGAAAGAAAAAGATACGCATTTGAACATTATAGGCTTTACATTATAGCCAAACGGACTTCTTGAATTTTAGAGAGGCTTGACTTCAAATATTCACATTTCTGCTAAACTATAAAATATACCAACAATAAATAGTTTTGAACTGTGTGTTGTGTAGTTTTGTCAATAAAGTTATACACATGTACTAAACGGAAGTTTGCATATGCGCATGAGCAATAATGTTTACGTTGAGAACGGCGTGACGCAATCATTGAGGAATTGGTGAGTTTAAAAACGAGTAATTCTGTGATAAATTAGCTATTAAAGATATTCCATTAATTTGATTAGATGCACCGACATTTACTACAGCAAACAGATGAAAAGGTGTTCCGTTTTGTTCGTTCAAATTGTAGCTGCCTTGCCGGTTACCTCAACAAAGCTAACACAGCATAGCTAGCTAATAACCCACCCTGTGCACCAAAACCCAGTGTATAAAATAGCTAGTTGTCTTATAATATTGTTATTACATGCATTGTTAGGCCTCTTGCTTTTGGTGTAACCATTTATGTAACTAGCTACGTTTAAATAGTAGCTTTAGATAGTTGGCTAGTTGCACCCTAATTGCTAGTTAGTAGGTGCCGTGGTCTGCGAATGTTACTAGCTAACTAAGCTGAATTCTATATAATTTGGAATGAATGAAGTCTTAATTTTTTTCCCAAAGAGTAAGATTATGTTGTCTATTTATGCTCCCCAAATGCACAAGTGAAAACGTAACGTTACCTTTAAATTATGTAAAACTTTTTTCCAATATGTTTCTCCAGAGTGAAGACTTCTACGTTTAGTATTTGACCAGCTGTCCAGGAGGTGGAGGGGAGTGTTTTGACTGTGAGTGAATCCATTGCCCTGCAAAGATGGATTTCCAACACAGAGCTGGGGGCAAGACGGGGAGCGGTGGGGTGGCGTCCTCCTCAGAGAGCAACCGGGATCGGCGAGAGCGGCTCCGCCAGCTGGCCCTGGAGACCATTGACATCAACAAGGACCCCTATTTCATGAAGAACCATCTGGGCTCTTATGAGTGTAAACTGTGTCTGACACTCCACAACAATGAGGTAAGGAAGTGCTCATATTAACATAACTCTTTATATGATGATCAATTGTCATTTTAATTCAAGATTTTAACCATTGTTGTTTTCTCTTTACAGGGCAGCTACCTGGCCCATACACAGGGAAAGAAGCATCAGACGAATTTGTAAGTACATATGTATTACTACTACTTTTGTGTCATTTAAGCATTGTGTATATTTGGTGTTGCTCACTTCCCTGTTTTGTTGAATGCAGAGCGAGAAGAGCAGCCAAAGAAGCGAAAGAAGCTCCCGCCCAGCCAGCCCCCGAAAAGGTGAAAGTTGAGGTCAAGAAATTTGTGAAGATTGGTCGACCGGGGTACAAAGGTAGGTTATTATGTGTTTTGATGTTAGTCATCATCAGGCTCTCAAAGGATTCGATGACTCTAGAACAATCTAATGTACTGAAATGTATTGATATTATTTCCCTTCTCAACAGTAACAAAACAGAGAGATCCAGAGAGCGGTCAACAGTCTTTACTTTTCCAGGTGAGTCTGAATCAGAGTATGTGAGCGGAGCTGGAGCGGAAGGAGGAGCGGAGAGTGCCCAATTTGACTTGAGTGTGGAGCGAGATTCCCAAAGGCTGGAGCTTCAGCCTTCTCGCCTGCTCCAATTTCGCTCCAGTAGCACTCACATCACCAGCTCAGGGCATGCCCGGCCCAGCATACATTTGTAGTCTACTTGTGTGCTGCAAATAGCCCCTTGCTACTGTCATGGAGTTCACTAAATATTTTCATAAAGAAACTGATAAAACACACAGGTGCTAAATCAAGGTGATTTACAAAGATGAGGACCAAGAGCAAGAGAGGGAGTGCGGTGATGTAGTGTCCACAACTAAAGAATCATTGTGGAATCTGAAAGACACTTATCCCAAAAGCCTGAAGCCACAGACTGGCCAAACTCGTGTTTCTAAATAATGAATTCAAAGGCACTAATAAGTCATTTTTTGTTTAATTTGTATTTCATTCTAAGCAAGTGACAGCCTATATGCACAATTGATAGACTATATAATGATTGAATACAACAAAATGTTGTTTAAATGCTGAGCGTTTTATGTTCCTACCAGCCTATTGTGTCGCACTCACAAATGCTTCACAATGTATTTCTTTGTAGGCTATAGCCTTGAAATAATATAGCCTAAATCATTTATTTTCATTTCTTCTTAGGCTCCCTGTCTGGCTCCTGACCTATTTAGAGTGTTTATATGCTGTTTAATATCACATGTAGCCTATTTGAAATTATGTTCGCTTCTTACATTCACCTTTTCATTTCTATTCAAAAACTTTTCATTCAAATCCATATGGTTTGGTTTCAATACTTAAAAACCAATTGGTAGGTCCAGGTAGTCTAAAAAATAGAAGGGTGTAAATGTTTTTGTGCCATCTTTATTCTATTAGAGAAAACATTCTTTAAAATTATATTATGTGAGCTAAGCGTAAGAATAAAAAATGAAAACACTATTTTTAAATTGTACCTTTATTTAACTAGGCAAGTCAGTTAAGAACAAATTCTTATTTACAATGACGGCCTACACCGGCCAAACCCGGACGACGCTGGGCCGATTGTGCGCCGCCCTATGGGACTTTTAATCACGGTTGTGATACTGCCTGGAATCGAACCAGGGGGTCTGTAGTGACACCTCAAGCACTGAGATGCAGTGCCTTAGACCGCTGCGCCACTCGAGAACACTTTTTGGGTTACTACATGATTCCATATGTGTTATTTCATAGTCTTGATGTCTTCACTATTATTCTACAATGTAGAAAATAGTAAAAATAAAGAAAAACCCTTGAATGAGTAGGTGTTCTAAAACTTTTGACCGGTAGTGTACATATGAGGAGAAAGCTAAAGTCTACCTATCCATTGATGTAAATATATCCCCTGTCTGATTCCCAGTTCGTCCACTAGATTGCAGTAGGAGATCACATGACGTCTCTTGGCCACTTGAAACCAGTTGCTTCTGGTTTGGGTAGTGAGTCACTGTCAAAATGGCTGAACGGATTTTCAAGCCTGTACAGGGCCCAAAACAATGCTCAGAGTTTAACAGGATATACGATTAAACCCACCATTTAATGGTATTGTGACAGCCGTATTGGATATTAGACACCATAATGGCAAAGATATTTATAACTAACCCAAGATAGTTAATCTGTGACTGTTACAGTGGGAGCAAATTAAGCATAGTGGGCAGAACAAACAAGGAGGTGGGCAAAGCCAAGCACGAGCTAGCGAAATCCTCATTTAATAAGCCAATCACTGGCCGTTAGGGAACGCCTCCTCTGTGAAGTGCGGCATCACAAACTCAATTCGACCTTGCACTCCTTCTAAACAACTCAATTTTTATACAACTTTGGCAAAGCGGCAAGTCTCTATAAAACTTAATGCACTGTGTCCGTAACAGATTCTAGTTTTGGAAACAGAAAAATCGATAAGATGCCCAGTTTCACCTAGTTCCATCCTCTCCCACTACCCGCGACTGGACTTCCTCTCACTACCATATTTGGTGTTGAGAAACATTCTAAACGGATGCTTCAACTTTATAGCCCCGTGTCTGGGTTTCTCCTTCTGTCTGTGATAATGGATTTGGAGTCAAATCTAGGGGGCCCCCTAACGTAGTTGCAAGAGGCTGAACATATAATATCCACAGAGGAACCTTTGACTGAAAGGAAATGACCGTTTTCACTGTCTCAGCCCACTTGTTTTCCTTAGGGCTGATTTAGATAACTAAAGCCATAACATAAAAAAAACACATTTAACTGTGTGTATTTTTGTCAGGCAGGACCATACAGCACTGAATGAGATTACATTTGACTTGGAAAGTTGTCTATTAATCAGCTACAAAAAAGTAAAGCTTTCATTCATCATAAATAGTCATAGTTGATATTTCTACCTATTGTATCTCTGTGTTTGCAGGGCTATATTTCCAAGATGCATTAAGATATCCTAATTTTGTTTGTTTGTGTATGTAGGGCAGACAACTGACTACTTTTATTCCAAAACATGTTTATATCAGAGCTTGCAATATATTATATTGGGTTACATGAGCTTATGTGGCCCACCCCCCTCCCAGGCATTATTCTGCACGTTTTGAGTTTAAGGGGTGTGTCACAATATCTATTAGGGATGTGCAGCTTTCCCTTCCAAGTCGATTCGATACGTATCTACACTGAACAAAAATATAAACGCAACATGTAAAGTGTTGGTCCCATGTGTCATGAGTTGAAATGTTCCAAATGCACAAAAAGCTTATTTCGCGCAAAGTTTGTGTACACATTTATTTACTTCCCTCTTAGTGAGCATTTCTCCTTTGCCAAGATAATCCATCCTCCTGACAGGTGTGGCATATCAACAAGCTGATTAAACAACATGATCATTACACAGGTCCACCTTGTGCTGGGGTCGATAAAAGGCCACTCTAAAATGTGCAACAACACAATGCCACAGATGTCTCAAGTTTTGAGGGAGTGTGCAATTGGCATGCTGACTGCAGGAATGTCCACCAGAGCTGTTGCCAGAGAATTGAATATTCATTTTTCTACCACCTGCCTCCAACGTCGTTTTAGAGAATTTGTCACAATTTTCAACAGCGCATAGATAACCTATGAAATTACATAAGTTGTCACTCAACTAAAAAAGCCTAATATCATGCAAGCCATTTTAGCATTTGAATGCTGAAGGTGCAGATGTGCAAGATCAGGAATAGGCCGTCTACCTCGCGTTGGTCAGCGCGTGAAGCGGGGCACAGTTTGACTAGGCTACTGATACTGCCTGGTTTCGGCATGCAAAATGACTGTCAACACAGTTAGTCCTACATGCAGTTCGACACTGAAGGAGAGGACGCATCAGTTGTCACAAAATATGAGGGATTTTTGGAAGGTAGAAAGAAGGTAATATGCGCAACAACAAAAAACGGTGAACCGGTAATTCTTAACGTTTAAATGGAGACCAATGCATGTTCCTTTTTGGATCGGTTTGGGGTCCGCGGACTGATGCACTTGTATCTTAAACATTTAAATCTGGGACCGATGCGTATCAGTGAATCGTTAAATCTTTAATATCTATCAATTGAACCACTTTTGCATAAACATATTTTTTTCACAACCATCCATTTCATAAATGGGAGACATTATAGATGTTAAAGAACATGGTTGTGTTTTGTTCTAAGGTAGGGGTATCTCAAACCTAAAGCCCTTTTGGAAGTATTGGCCAGTAGCCAACATTTCTACTCTCTTGTAAGACTTAGGAGACACTGGCTACCTTGACTAATTGTCCTCTTCCTCCCCTATCAGATTGATTACCCAGAGATAGCAGAGGGCATAGGACCCAGACATCGCTTCATGTCTGCATACGAGCAGCGCATCGAGCCCCCAGACCGTCGTTGGCAGTACCTTCTACTGGCTGCAGAGCCCTACGAGACGATCGCCTTCAAGGTGTGTGCGTGTGTCTGGACCTAAGAAAATCCCCAATCACTCTCATTTGTCTTTGCTTCGTTCTGTTTTCCTATGAATGACAACTTATACCTTTTTTGTGTCTTCTATATTTATGCAGGTGCCAAGCAGAGAGATTGATAAAGGCGAGAGTCGCTTCTGGACCCACTGGAACAAAGATACAAAACAGGTCAAGTACATTTGGTGTTGACAGTCTCATGGATGGTTGTATCTGAATTGGTTTTTGGAGGATATTTAGGTATTAATGGAATCCAACTGAATGTACTGTCTCTCTCCAGTTCTTCCTCCAGTTCCACTTCAAGATGGAGAAAGCCCTCGCCCCACCCAGCGGACCCGTACCCCCCATGGGTGTAAAGCGCCCCCCTCCCCTGATGAGTGGGATGGGGCCTCGACCCCCCAGTGAGCCCATGCCCCCTCCGCCTCCAGGGGGGATGAATATGCCCCCTTTGCCCCCTGGTGCCCCCGGGCCATCCCCAGATGCACCACCACCATCAAATGCAACACAGTGGCCCCGGTATGGGTATGTCCACCCCTGATGAGACCCCCACTCCCCTCTGACGGCCATGAAGGAATGCCCCATCAAAACAACTGATCTCCAACCAGCACATCATCCTTCTGTTAAATTGTGTTGCAAATCGTTTGGTTGCTATAACAGTGGCCCCGTCTTAGGACTATGTCAAGTGTACAGTTTCTAAACCGTGGAAGACAGGTGCCATATTCAAGTGGTTTTGTACACAGTTGCCAAGGCATTGTATTTGTCATGCTCGTCTAATATCCACACTATCATACCATTTTTAGAATGAGGCAATATAATGTGTATGCTTTCTAAGTGTTATGCTAGTGTGGTTAATGGAAGATATCCATTGTTTTAGGCAATCTGATGGCACCAATATTAATAGGATCCTGCTGTATTGTAAATGTTGAGCCCGCTATATGAAACATCTTTTAAGATTCTTTTTTATAATAAAAAATGTGGAAAAGTTAGTTGTATCTCATGATCTTTCTCTGTGTGCTTGGCTGGAAATAAAATGTGTTTAGCTGCAAAGATGTGATACATAACTTTTATTAGTTTCTCAAAGATACCACAGGGAAAGCTTTATTGAAAGTTAGGGTAGCAGAAATAGGATGTTAGATAAAAGCAAGTTTTTTTCCAAAGTACAGTATTTACAATGTATCAAACAAAAACGACATAAATTGCCCAGCAGTAATAGGCAGTCTGAAACATCCCCATCATCCCTACAAAGAGCCTCCCAGTTGAGCAGAAGTGATTTTACATTTTAGTCATTTAGCAGATGCTCTTATCCAGAGCGACTTACAGTTAGTGAGTGCATACATTTTCATACTGGCCCCCTGTGGGAAACGAACCCACAACCCTGGCGTTGCAAGCGCCATGCCCTACCAACTGAGCTACAGGGGACTAAACAATAGCACCCAGACAATTACTCAAATGAGACGTCTTGCTCAACTTTACAATACAAACCAACATTTTCAAAATGGCATCATTGAACAATATTCTAAGCAACAAAGATATGGCAGACCGGGAACTCAGTCATGTTTCTCTTCTGTCACTTGTTAATGGCTGCCAATGAGCCAGCAGAAATGCACCATTTATTAGTTGGAACATTCATTTGTGCAGACAACCTATAATGAGTGTTTCACAATGATGCCCATCCACATTACCTTATTTTACTATTACATATGGAGAACTAGAACTACTGTTGTACTCCTTTACTAAATGCTTCATCAGACCGCATGCCATTTGCCCTCCTACGATTTGCTGGCTTTTTAATTTCTTAACCTTTTGTATCTTGGGTTTAACTTCCTCCATCTTCCGCCACTTGTTTTTCCTCCCCTCTCAGCTTGACCTGTTTTCCCGTTTTCTTCTGCTTAGTTTCTTCATCTCTCTCTCTCTTAGCCCTCTTTTCCTCCACCTTTCTGCCTTTGACAAGTCTTCCCTCTGGTGTTCCCCTGCTTCTCAGGCCCTTCAGCGACCTCTCTCTGACCCCCTTCTTCAATCGACCTTGTTTGGTTTCCCCGTCATCATCTTCGTCATTAAAGTCAGGTAACCACCAGAACAGCACCTCATATAGAGAGGTCTCAGGCTGCAGGAAACAGGAAATGGTCAAAAGGAAAAAGGAAATATACTGGTAACAAAACATTGGCGTACAGAAACATCTTGGGCTTTGTTTGGAACCGGATATATTATTATAATGCACAAATATGTACTATATACTCATTACTATTTTGGACAAAAAAATGTTACACTGAACAAAAATATAAACCAACAATTTCAAAGATTTTACTGAGTTACAGTTCATGTAAGGAAATCAGTCAATTGAAATAAATAAATTAGGCCCTAATCTATGGATTTCACTTGACTGGGAATACATATATGCATCTGTTGGTCACAGATACCTTAAAAAAAAGGTAGGGGCATGGATCAGAAAACCACAGCATCTGGTGTGACCACCATTTGCCATTTCTCCTTCGCATAGAGTTGATCAGGCTGTTGATTGTGACCTGTGGAATGTTGTCCCACTCCTCTTCAATGGCTGTGCAAAGTTGCTGGATATTGACGGGAACTGGAAAACGCTGTTGTACACGTCAATCCAGAGTATCCTAAACCTGCTCAATGGGTGACATGTCTGGTGAGTATGCAGGCCATGGAAGAACTGGGACATTTTCAGCTTCCAGGAATTGTGTACAGATCCTTGTGACATAGGGCTGTGCATTATCATGCTGAAACATGAGGTGATGGCTGGGGATGAATGGCACAACAATTGTCCTCAGGATCTCATCACGGTATCTCTGTGCATTCAAATTGCCACTGATAAATCGCAATTGTGTTCGTTCGTAGCTTACAGTGACTTGCGAAAGTATTCACCCCACTTTTTCCGATTTTGTTGCCTAACAACCTGGAAATAAAATGGATTTGTTTGGGGTTTGTGTCATTTGATTTACACAACATGGCTACCACTTTAGAAGATGCTAAATAATTGTTTGGGTGAAACAAACAACAAATAAGACAAAACAACAGAAAACTTGAGCGTGCATAGCTATTCACCCCCCCCCCCCCCCCCCCCCCCCCCAAAAAAAAAGTCAATACTTTGTAGAGCCACCTTTTGCAGCAAGTCTCTTGGGGTATGTCTCCATATGCTTGGCACATCTAGCCACTGGGATTTCTGCCCATTCTTCAAGGCAAAACTGCTCCAGCTCCTTCAAGTTGGATGGGTTCCGCTGGTGTACAGCAATCTTTAAGTTATACCACAGATTCTCAATTGGATTGACTAGGCCATTCCAAGACAAGTTTCAAGTGTTGCTTTAGCAGTATGCTTAGGGTCATTGTCCTGCTGGAAGGTGAACCTCCGTCCCAGTCTCAAATCTCTGGAAGACTGAAACAGGTTTCCTTCAAGAATTTCCCTGTATTTAGCACCATCCATCATTCCTTCAATTCTGACCAGTTTCCCAGTCCCTGCTGATGAAAAACATCCCCACAGCATGATGCTGCCACCACCATGCTTCACTGTGGGGATGGTGTTCTCGGGGTGATGAGAGGTGTTGGGTTTGCGCCAGACATAGCGTTTTCCTTGATGGCCAAAAACCTAAATTTGAGTCTCATCTGACCAGAGTACCTTCTTCCAAATGTTTGGGGAGTCTCCCACATGCCTTTTGGCGAACACAAAACGTGTTTGCTTATTTTTGTCTTTAAGCAATGGCTTTTTTCTGGCCACTCTTCCGTAAAGCCCAGCTCTGTGGAGTGTACGGCTTAAAGTGGTCCTATGGACAGATACTCCAATCTCCGCTGTGGAGCTTTGCAGCTCCTTCAGGGTTATCTTTGGTCTCTTTGTTGCCTCTCTGATTAATACCCTCCTTGCCTGGTCCGTGAGTTTTGGTGGGCGGCCCTCTCTTGGCACCCAACCCTGATCTGTACTTCTCCACAACTTTGTCCCTGACCTGTTTGGAGAGCTCCTTTGTCTTCATGGTGCCGCTTGCTTGGTGGTGCCCCTTGCTTAGTGGTGTTGCAGACTCTGGTGCCTTTCAGAACAGGTGTATACATACTGAGATCATGTGACACTTAGATTGCACACAGGTGGACTTTATTTAACTAATTATGTGACTTCTGAAGGTAATTGGTTGCACCAGGTCTTATTTAGGGGCTACATAGCAAAGGGGGTGAATACATATGCACACACCATTTTTCCGTTATTAGTTTTTTAGAATTTTTTGAAACAAGTTATTTTTTTCATTTCACTTCACCAATTTGGACTATGTTGTGTATGTCCATTACATGAAATCCAAATAAAAATCCATTTAAATTACAGGTTGTAATGCAACAGAATAGGAAAAATGCTAAGGGGGATGAATACTTTTGCAAGGCACTGTATGCCTGCCCATACCATAACCCCACCGCCACCATGGCGCACTCTGTTCACAACGTTGACGTCAGCAAACCGCTCGCCCACAAGACGCCATACACGCTGTCTGCCATCTGCCCGGTACAGTTGAAACCGGGATTCATCCGTGAAGAGAACACTTCTCCAGCGTGACAGTGACCATCGAAGGTGAGCATTTGCCCACTGAAGTCGGTTACAACGCCAAACTGCAGTCAGGTCAAGACCCTGGTAAGGATGACGAGCACGCAGATGAGCTTACTTGAGACAGTTTCTGACAGTTTGTGAATAAATTATTCGGTTGCGCAAACCCACAGTTTCATCAGCTGTCCGGGTGGCTGGTCTCAGACAATCCCGCAGGTGAAGAAGCCGGATATGGAAGTCCTGGGCTGGCGTGGTTACACGTGGTCTGCAGTTGTGAGGCCGGTTGGACGTACTGCCAAATTCTCTAAAACGACGTTGGAGGTGGCTTATGGTAGAGTAATGAACATTACATTCTCTGGCACTCCCTCAAAACTTGAGACATCTGTGGCATTGTGTTGTGTGACAAAACTGCACATTCTAGAGTGGTCTTTTATCGTCTCCAGCACAAGGTGGTCATGTTGTTTAATCAGCTTCTTGATATGCCACACCTGTCAGGTGGATGGATTATCTTGGCAAAGGAGAAATGCTCACTAACAGGGATGTAAACAAATTTGTGGACAACATTTTAGAGAAATAAGCTTTTTGTGCATATTGAACCATTTCTGGGATCCTTTATTTCAGCTCATGAAACATGGGACCAACACTTTACATGTTGCGTTTATATTTTTGTTCCGTATAGTATGTAGTTTGTTTGCAAACTTCAGCATACAATCGCATCACTCATCAACGAGACACAGATGTCTCAGCCCTCAATACATTCAGGGCAGAGGAGGCTGGTGAAAGGAGCTATATGAGGACGGGCTCATTGTAATGGCTGGAATCAATAAATAGTCAAACATGGTTTCTCTATGTTTGATACCGTTCCATTTATTCAATTTCAGCCATTACATTGAGCCCATCCTCATATAGCTCCCCCCACCAGCCTCCTCTGATTCAGGGGTAAAATAACAAATAAAAACACTTCCTGAATAGGAATGTAGAGGTCACCTATACATTTTTGCTGAATGTAGTATGCCATCCTAGTCTTTCAAGCATAATCAGCATACTACCCCATATGTGTATACTACCTAATAAATGCTCACACATACTCATCCCTACTAAATAGTATAGAAGTATGATTCCATACACATCCTGTGTCACCTGAACCTACTTGAGAAGCCAGCCATTTGAATGGATGCTCCAGCTAACCGTCAGTGACAGTAGTAGCTGATCTGCAAAGTGCAGATGAAAACCATCACACACTGCAGGCCTTTAGGAGTGGCACTTTGCAGCAAATCTCCTGTAATCCATACCATGTTGGCAATGAGGATTCTGAGCCTGGAGAGACAGGAGAGTATTTTGTGTCTGTGCCACTACCTCCTGTGGTTGGACTTTGTATCTCATTGCTGAGTGCCTCACAGTCAGCGCATCATCATACTCCTCTTCTGCCACAGCCCGTCGACCTTTTATGGTTTCTATAGGATGACAGGACGCTCACATTAGGGATGGAAACACTCTTTGTAACCTACAAATAAATGTGTGTCTGTCTGTGTCATTGTCACTTACTGGTTTGAGTTCAAGTTGACCCCCCAAAATGTATATTCATTGTGCTTTACCAACTTGACATAATTGTATATAGTATGTGTAGTGGGGCGTGGTCTACACTTGTGTACTTGCCATGTAGTTTCTGAAAGCCGGAGCTGAGCAGCAGGATTGCGATAGCTATGAACAGACAGCGGTTAAGTGTGACCCCTTCCCAGGGTGTCTCTATCTGGCTCAGGTTCTGGAGGGACATAGCTTTACGCAGAGACGCTGAGGAATACAGAGGCAGAGCGATAGAGACAGGGGTTATAACAGCATAAATCACAGTAGTGTAAAGTACTTAAGTATAAATACTTTGAAGTACTACTTAAGTCGTTTTTGGGCATATTTGTACTTTATTATTTATATTTTTGACTACTTTTACTTTTACTTCACTACATTCCTAAAGAAAATAATTTTACTCCCTACATTTTCCTTGACACCCAAAAGTACTCGTTACATTTTAAATGCTTAGCAGGACAGAAATATTGTCCAATTCACACACGTATCAAGAGAATACGTGGTCATCCCTACTGCCTCTGATCTGGCGGACTCACTAAACACAAATGCATCGTTTGTCAATTATATCTGAGTGTTGGAGTGTGCCTCTGGCTATCCATACATTTTTAAAACAAGAAAATGGTGCCGTCTGCTTTGTTTAATATAAGGAATTTGAAATTATTTATACTTTTACTTTTGATACTTCAGTATATTTTATCAATTACATTTACTTTTGATACTTAAGCATATTAAGGACCAAATACTTTTAGACTTTTACTCAAGTTGTATTTTACTGGGTAACTTTCACTTATTAAATAACTTTCTATTAAGGTATCTATACTTTTACTCAAGTATGACAATTGGGTACTTTTTCCACCACTGATAAATCAGGTGACTTTGTCATGTTTTGAGGAGAGAGAGAGAGAGAGAGAGAGAGAGAGAGAGAGAAGAGAGAGAACAAGAGAGAGAGAGAGATAAGAGAGAGAGAGAACAAGAAGAGAGAGAGAGAAGAGAGATATAGATAGAGCAGAGAGACCAGAGAGAGAGACAGAGAGCGAGAGACAGCGATAGAGGAATGAGACAGAGACAGAGACAGAGACAAGAGAGAGAAGATATAGAGAGATAGAGAAGAGAAGGAGAGAAGAGTGAATAGCGAGAGAAGAGTTCAAGCAGAGAGAGAGTAGAAGAAGATAAAGAGAGAGAGATAAAGAGATAGAAAGAGAGAGAAAATAGAGAGAGAAATAGATGAAGAGAAACAGAAGAAGAGAATAGTCCCGATAGAAAAAAAGTTGTGTGTTGTTGTGTTGTGTGAGAGAGAATAGGAGAGGATGAGTCAGCGGGGAGAGAGGATAAAGAGAGAGAGAGAGATAAAGAAAGAGGAGGGAGAAAATATGAGGGGGAGAATAAGAAGAAAAGAAGAGAGAAGAGAGGGAGATAAGAATAGAGAAGAAGGATAGAGATTATTGAGAAAGAAGAGAGAGTAAAGATAGAAAGAGAGAGAGAGTCGCGAAGAAAAGGGAGATTTGTTTTTTGTGTGTTTTTTGTGTGGTTGTGTGTTGTTGAGAGAGAGGAAGAGGAGAGAGAGAAGATAGGATTAGTTATGAGAGAGAGAGATATAGAGAGGAAGATAGAGAGATAAAAAGGATATAAGAAGAGAAAAATAGAGAAGGAGAAAGAGGAGATAAGAAAGAGAGTAAGAGAAAAAGCGAAAGAGAGACAAAGAACCGGGAAGATATACAAGAGAAGATAGAAGAACAGATAAAGAGACAGAGAAAGATAGATAAGAGAGAGTAGGAGATAGAGAAGAGAGAGATAAAAAAATTTAGGGGCTGAGGATAAAAAGAGAGGAACAGATAAGAAGAGGAAAGAGAGAGATAGAAAAAAGAAGAGGGGTAATAGAGAGAATAGAGATTAGATAGAGAGAGGAGAAGATGTTAATGAGAGAGCGAGAGAATAAAAATAAAAGAAGGAATAGAAGACCAGGAGAGAGCCCAGAGTAGTAGAGAGAACAAGAAGAAACAGAGAGAGATCCGGAATAGAGAGAGACAGGACAAGAGAAGTCAGAGGAGAGAACAGGAAGAACAAGGAAAGTCAGAGGTGTGAGAGAGAGAGAGAGGGTTTGGGGCTCACTGCTTCTGGCGGGGAGACTGGGTTCTCTGGGCATTATCTTGGGGACTTCCTGCTGCATGACTGGAGGTTCCTGTTGAGAAGACATGGTCCGTTCCTGTAGGGTTCTTCTTCTCTCCTGAGCATACATTTCTGCAAAGAAACAGATATGTTAGCCAGGGGCTATGTTGACCACCAGATAACCACATAATATACACTGAACAAAAATATAAAACGCAACATGCAACAATTTCAAATGTTTTACTGAGTTACAGTTCATGTAAGGAAATAAATAAATTGAAATAAATAAATTAGGCCCTAATCTATGGATTTCACATTACTGGGAAGTAATACAGCTATGCATCTGTTGGTCAAAGATTCCTTAAAAAAATTAGAGGCGTGGATCAGAAAACCAGTCAGTATCTGCCGTGACCAACATTTGCGTCATGCAGCGTGACACATCTCCCTCACATAGAGTTGATCAAGCTGTTGATTGTGGCCTGTGGAATGTTGTTCCACTCCTCTTCAATGGATGTGCAAAGTTGCTGGATATTGGCGGGAACTGGAACACGCTGTCGTACACGTCGATCCAGAACATCCCAAACATGCTCAATGGGTGACATGTAAGATGAGTATAAAGGCTATGGAAGAACTTTGACATTTTCAGCTTCCAGGAATTGTGTACAGATTCTTGCAACATGGGGCCGTGCATTATCATGCTGAAACATGAGGTGATTGCGGCAGATGAATGCCACGACAATGGGCCTCAGGATCTCGTCACGGTATCTCTGTGCATTCAAATTGCCATAAAATGTTGGAGGCGATTTATGGTAGAGAAATTAGCATAACATTATCTGGCAACAGCTCTGGTGGACATTCCTGCAGTCAGCATACCAATTGCACGCTCCCTCAAAACTTGAAACATTTGTGGCATTGTGTTGTGTGACAAAACTGCACATTTTAGAGTGTCATTTTATTGTCCCCAGCACAAGGTGCACATGTGTAATGATCATGCTGTTTAATCAGCTTTTTGCTATGCCACACCTGTCAGGTGGATGGATTATCTTGGCAAAGGAGAAATGCTCACTAAAATGGATGTAAACAAATGTGTGCACGTTTTAGAGAAATACGCTTTTTGTGCATATGAAAAATGTCTGTGATCTTTTATTTCAGCTCATGAAACATGGGACCAGCACATTACATGTTGCGTTTATATTTTTGTTGAGTACAGTATTAGAAGCAACATGGTACATCTATCTGTCACATTTATAGGGAGCAGGCATGGACAGGGTGTTGGTACTGTATCCTCTAAGTCTCACGGCTAGTGATGTAAAATGGGGTAAGTAAAGGAGTGTGAGATAAATTAGATGAGAGGGAGAGAGACTCTGTTGTAACTAACCTCCCTTGTTCTAAGAGTATAGGAGCTCTGCTGTCAGTAAGTTACTGTAGTTGAAACTCCCCCAGTACGTCTGTGTGAGGTGGATTCACACTATGGTGCTCATAGGACCAGAGATCATATTTCAATGGCGTGGTGACTATGTAGAGGTATGCTGATACCACCACGCTACACCACTCACATGTTATAGATACCAGTGTTCTGAAATAGGGACCCTAAAGGTGTTATTACACTTAGTGTAAAGGCTTCTTAACCCCAAGGATAATCTTACAAGATACAGTGCATTCGGAAAGTATTAAGACCCCTTGACCTTTTCCACATTTTGTTACCTTACTCTAAAATTGATTAAATTACATTTTTTCCTCATCAATCTACAATATCCCATAATGACAAAGCGAAAAAAGTTTTTTTGAGATTTTAGGAAATGTATTAAAAATAAAAAGCAGAAATACCTTATTTACATAAGTATTCAGACCCTTTGCTACGAGACTTGAAATTGAGCTCAGGTGCATCCTGTTTCCATTGATCATCCTTGAGATGTTTCTACAACTTGATTGGAGTCCACCTGTGGTAAATTCAATTGATTGGACATGATTTGGAAAGGCACACACCTGTCTATATAAGTTGACAGTGCATGTCAGAGCAAAAACCAAGCCATGAGGTCGAAGGAATTGTCCGTAGAGCTCAGAGACAGGATTGTGTCATGGCACAGATCTGGGAAAGGGTATCAAAAAAAATTCTGCAGCATTGAAGGTCCCCAAGAACACAGTGGCCTCCATCATTCTTAAATGGAAGAAGTATGGAACCACCAAGACTCTTCCTAGAGCTGGCCGCCCGGCCAAACTGAGCAATCGGGAAGAAGGGTCTTAGTCAGGGAGGAGACCAAGAACCCGATGGTCACTCTGACAGAGCTCCAGAGTTCCTCTGTGGATATGGGAGAACGTTCCAGAAGGACAAACATATCTGCAGCACTCCACCAATCAGGCCTTTATGGTAGAGTGGCCAGACGGAAGCAACTCCTCAGTAAAAGGCAAATGACAGCCCGCTTGGAGTTTGCCAAAAGGCACCAAAAGACTCTCAGACCATGAGAAGCAAGATTCTCTGGTCTGATGAAACCAAGATTGAACTCAGTTGTTGTTTTTTAGACATTTGCAAACATTTCTAAAAATCTGTTTTTGCTTTGTCATTATGGAGTATTTTGTGTAGGTTGATGAGGGAAAAAAAACAATTAAAACCATTTTAGAATAAGGCTGTAACGTAACAAAATGTGGAAAAAGTCAAGGGGTCTGAATAATTTCCGAATTATCTGTAAGAGAATTGTGTACAGTGGCTTGCGAAAGTATTCACCCCCCTTGGCATTTTTCCTATTTTGTTGCCTTACAACCAAATTAAAATGGATTTTTGGGGGGATTTGTATCATTTCATTTACACAACATGCCTACCACTTTGAAGATGCAAAATAAATGTTGTTGTGAAACAAACAAGAAATAAGACAAAACAACAGAAAACTTGAGCGTGCATAACTATTCACCACCCCCATAGTCAATACTTTGTAGAGCCACCTTTTGCAGCAATTACAGCTGCAAATCTCTTGGGGTATCTCTCTATAAACTTGGCACATCTAGCCACTGGGAGTTTTGCCCATTATTCAAGGCAAAACTGCTCCAGCTCCTTCAAGTTGGATGGGCTCTGCTGGTGTACAGCAATCTTTAAGTCATACCACAGATTCTCAATTGGATTGAGGTCTGGGTTTTGACTAGGCCATTCCAAGACATTTAAATGTTTCCCCTTAAACCACTCAAGTGTTGCTTTAGCAGTATGCTTAGGATCATTGTTCTGCTGGAAGGTGAACCTCCGTCCCAGTCTCAAATCTCTGGAAGACTGAAACATGTTTCCCTCAAGAATTTCCCTGTATTTAGCGCCATCCATCATTCCTTCAATTCTGACCAGTTTCCCAGTCCCTGCCGATGAAAAACACCCCCACAGCATGATACTGCCACCACCATGCTTCACTGTGGGGATGGTGTTCTCGTAGTGATGAGAGGTGTTGGGTTTGCGCCAGACATAGCGTTTTCCTTGATGGCCAAAAAGCTCAATTTTAGTCTCATCTGACCAGACTACCTTCTTCCATATGTTTGGGGAGTCTCCCACATGCCTTTTGGCGGACACCAAACGTGTTTGCTTATTTTTTTCTTTAAGCAATGGCTTTTTTCTGGCCACTCTTCCGTAAAGCCCAGCTCTGTGGAGTGTACGACTTAAAGTAGTCCAATGGACAGATACTCCAATCTCCGCTGTAGCTCCTTCAGGGTTATCTTTGTTGCCTCTCTGATTAATGCCCTCCTTGCCTGGTCCGTGAGTTTTGGTGGGTGGCCCTCTCTTGGCAGGTTTGTTGTGGTGCCATATTCTTTCCATTTTTAATAATGGATTTAATGGTGCTCCGTGGGATGTTCAAAGTTTCTGATATTTTTTTTAGAACCCAACCCTGATCTGTACTTCTCCTAAATTTGTCCCTGACCTGTTTGGAGAGCTCCTTGGTCTTCATGATGCCGCTTGCTTGGTGGTGCCCCTTGCATAGTGGTGTTGCAGACTCTGGGGCCTTTCAGAACAGGTGTATATATACTGAGATCATGTGACACTTAGATTGCACACAGGTGGACTTTATTTAACTAATTATGTGACTTCTGAAGGTAATTGGTTGCACCAGATCTTATTTAGGGGCTTCATAGCAAAGGGGGTGAATACATTTGTACGCACCACTTTTCGTTTATTTATTTTTTATAATTTTTTGAAACAAGTTATCTTTTTCATTTCACTTCACCAATTTGGACTATTTTGTGTATGTCCATTACATGAAATCCAAATAAAAATCCATTTAAATTACAGGTTGTAATGCAACACAATAGGAAAAACGCCAAGGGGGATGAATACTTTTGCAAGGCACTGTATATACAGGTAACTACCAAAATAAAGATGACACCAACATTAAGTGTCTTAATAGGGTGTTGGGCCACCACGAGCCAGAACAGTCTCAATGTGCCTTGGCATAGGTTTTACAAGTGCCTGTAACTCTATTGGAGAAATTCCATCATTTGGTGTTTTGTTGATGGTGGTGGAAAACTCTGTCTCAAGTGTTTAATTGGGTTGAGATCTGGTGACTGAGACAGCCATGGCAAACGGTTTACATCGTTTTCATGCTCATCAAACCATTCAGTGACCACTCGTGCCCTGTGGATGGGGGCATTGTCATCCTATGGGGGCATAGCCATGGTATCCAAAATAATGGGCAACTGGGCCTTCCCAGCATTTTCATACATGACCCTAAGCATGATGGGATGTTAATTGCTTAATTACCTTAGGAACCACACCTGTGTGGAAGTACCTGCTTTCAATATACATTGTATCCCACATTTACTCAAGGTTTCCTTTATTTTGGCAGTTACACTACATATACACCTAAGTATGTGGACACACCTTCAAATTAGTGGATTCGGCTATTTCAGCCACACCCAGTTTCTGACAGGTGTATAAAAACGAGCACACAGCCAAGTAATCTCCATAGACAAACATTGGCAGTAGAATGGCCTTATGAAGAGCGCAGGGACTTTCAATGTGCCACCGTCATAGGATGCCACCTTTCCCAACAAGTCAGTTCGTCAAATTGATGCCCTGCTAGAGCTTCCCTGGTCAACTGTAAGTGCTGTTATTGTGATGTGGAAACGTCTAGGAGCAACAACGGCTCAGCCGTGAAGTGGTAA